GGGGGGGGTGCTACTGACTGAAGTGTCTTTAGGCCATTCCACAGGGTGGATATTAACATGTTTTTATGCTCAGTAGAATTGGAAATGGGCTAATTTATCTATGTCATGCCCGTACTATGCCAGAACAACATAGGGGAAACTACTGCTTTTTCTTTCCTCATCCATACTATCGTCATTTTTCCACTACTTCTTCTGTTTGTTTGTCACTTTCTTGTGAACTGCTATTTCTAGGGTGCCTTGATAGTCGAAGCTGACTTTGTTTTGTTGAGGCTAGAGAGGTGGGCAAAGTAAGTCTGATTCCTCATTTGGACTTTTCTGTTGACATCCATCCCTTGGCGCTCATATGACCTTATGCAGTTGCGAGCGCCTTAAAACCTTACTGAAGCAAAAACGATGATGGCCTGATATTCAGACTGAAGCCAAAATCAAACAGACCGATCTTGGCATTTCTTAATGAAACAATGGCCAACCGCTAGGTCATAGAAACTGTGTGCATGCGCGGACAAATTTTGAAATGATAAAATAGAAGGCAAATTTGAAGGCAAACGAGGCAAGGGTAGACTCTGGGCAGCTTACTTTGAGAGCCTAAGAAGAGGGGTGATGGGAGAAAAAATCAGGATAACGTAGCTTTTTTTTCTTCTAGAGCATCTGAGAAAAAGAATGAATGTCGAACCATGAACACCGCACTGATGTCTGTCACAAATCTGGTACTTGATTACGATGCTGTTTCCTCTGCAGAGTCCATTCCGCGACCTGACCTACACATTGCGGGGAGACGCCGTGGTGGAGGACATTTTCCAAGTGAACTCCCAAAACTGCATCTTGAGTCTACGTAGGCCTCTGACCACCAATTCTGCCACCACTTACAGGGTTAGTGAATATTTTAAATTATTGCATGTTATTAGCATTGAGGGCAAGCGAGGCAGGGGTAGGCCCAGAACAACATACTTAGGGAACCTAAACAAATGGGTAACAGGGAAAAATCAGGGAAACGTAGCTTTTCTGAGAGCATCCAAGCAAAGGAATGAATGGGAAATCATGATCGTCGATGTCTGTCGCAGATCTGCCACTGGATGATGATGATGATGATTAGCAGTCCTTAGAAATGCTCCTGGAAAAACTATAAGTGACAAACGGACAACAGGGGAGATTCTGTACAAAGTAATGTTGAAGGGGAGAAGAGTTGGAAAAAGAAGTGTCATTTGAACAAAAAGAGAAGATGGCAGTGAATTGGGTATGGTTTAGGAAGGAGAGTCGAGTGAGGAGGAGGAGGAGGAGGAGGTTTGTTCTTTCGGGTCACATCTCCCAATTAGTCTTTTCAAAAATTCTGTGGAAGGAAATAATAGGACATTACAGTGGAAGAATTCTAGTAGAAAATCAATAGATAACTTCTAAAAAAAAAAGAAAAGGGTTACAAATGGGGGAGGGAATTGATAAACGGAAAGACAGCTAATGATTTGTATGTGGGATAAGCAGAAGGTGATAGGTAAAAGGAGAAAAGGAATGAAGATAAGATAGAAAACAATGGGAAAGTGGGGTGGGAGAAGGAAGATAAAAATGGAAATTTAGAAATTAATTGTCATGTTGAGGTTCTGGCTTCTGGCCTGAGCCAATCCCCCCCCCCCCTTTCCCCAACCCCAAGCTTTATTAGGCAAAAATTTGGTATGGTTTTCCAGCTCCAGATTCAGGTACAGGATGGAGGTTCCCCTCACCTGGGTGACTCCGAGGACCTTGTGATCACCGTCAGTCGAAACCTGGATACCCCTACCTTTACTCAGTTCAACTACCGAAGGAGCATCCTGGAAACCAAACCCATTGGAGAGAGCATCGTGCAAGTCACTGCCCGAGACAACGACAACTTTGTGAGTTTTGTCCTGTGTGTTGGTTGCTTTTCTTTGATTTGTCGCTAATTTTGTCACGTGTGTTGGTAGCTTTTCTTTGATTTGTCGCTAATTCACTATGACATTTTACTGTCTAGAATTAAAGCTCGATATGTTAGCAAATTCGAAGCATGACTGTGAAAAAGTAGGGACAGAAAAATGTAATAGGTTGCTGAGAATAGCTACCAACTCTTTTATGATTTAACAGATATGTACTTCTGTGGAATTTATCCTTGTAGTGGGTCATTCAGATTGACTGAATTTTACAAAAAGAATTCCTGAAGCACAAATATTTGCTGCCAGTGTAGACTGATATTTTTTTTTGATTTTCCGATCCAGTGGCCATTTGGGTTCTAGCCCTCCGGCCTGTCGATATGGTAAAGAACTTACAGGTTTTGATCAGCTGTATAGACTGTTATAAACTCTAAATTTCAAATTCAATTTCAATCTTTCTCTCAGGCGCCCAACAACAGAGTGAGGTATTCCTTGTTCAATCCATCTCAAGACGTCGATGACTACTTTGCCGTCAACCCAAATACCGGTGACTTATACTGCAAGCGATGGCAGGTGGATTACCCAGACCGTACTGTCACGTCATTCAGGGTAAGGGAACTATTGGTTGTGTAATTTGTCACCTCAGAACTGCTTTATGCAGCCACATTATGACATAGATTGAGCTAATGAACTCCCCC